AGGGTTAAGCAAGATTATTTCAATAAAGTGCCTGGGATAAAGTCATCGTTCAGAAGATTATTGCTATTATATAACTAATAAAAAGCTGAATGTTTATTAATTTTTTTTAGGCCAAGTCAAAGTGTTCCTTGGCAAAAAGTTGGTATTCAAATGAACTTACTAACAAAACAGCTGCATTGAAAGCTGTTAAATATTTAGCCAAGTTAAAATTGACACCTCATTTACTCAGCCAATATCACAAAAGGTATCATATGATGGGCCTTGTCTTGGGCCAAAAAAAGTATTATCTGGTGTGGAACATTCAAATGAAGTTGTAGGCAAGCAGTTATAGGTTATAGCATATATAGGTATGGGGCCAAGGAGAGAAATTTGAGGTGGAAATAAAGAATTTGGAGATCACTGGCATGAAGATGGAACTTAGGTCATCTCAATAGATGCAGAAAGAGCATTTGATAAAATTTGATAAAATTTAGCACCCATTCATAATAAAAACTCATAGCAAACAGGAAAGAAGTTCCTCAAACTTAAAGATTATCTAGGAAAAACAAAAGCAATCATATTCAATGGTGAAGTATTGAAAAATTTCCCTTGAGATTACAGGCAGTACCAGTATCACTTCTGTTCAAGATTGCACTGGACATTGTGGCTAATATAATATGCTTAACTCCAGCTGTCTAAAAACTGATAAGTGAAAGAAAAAATTTTAAAACTGTTTAAAGACAAAATATCTTTATGACCTTGGTCAGGAAAGGATTTCATAAGGCACAAAAAGAACAAATTGTAAAGGGAAAAATTGATAAATTTGGCTTCATTAAATGAAAAACTTCTCTTTACCAGAAGTACCCACAAATAAACAAAATGACAGACCACTTACTAGGGGAATACATTTATAATATGCTTCCCCAGAGGATTAGTATCCAGAGTATTAAAAACAAAAACAGAAAACTCTTACATGTCAATAAAAGACACACACAATAGAAAAATGGGCAGTAGAGATAAGTAAATGTTTATCAGAAGAGGAAATAAATAAATGGTAAATAAATATGAAAAGATACCTGTATCAGAAGTCTTCTGTAAAGGAGATTATATATAATATTTATGTTAATATATATTTATACAATACATATATAGAGAAAAGTTGATTGATTGATTGTGGGAACTGGCTAGACTAAAATCTGTTAGGCCAGCCAGCAGCTAGAAACTCAGGCGGGTGTTGATGTACAGTCATGAGACAGGATTGCTTCTCCAGAATACCTCAATTTTCATGCTGAAGGCCTTCAACTGATTAGATGAGGCCCACCCACATTATCTAAGGCGATCTCCTTCACTTAGAGTAAACTGATTGTAGATATTAACCATATCTGTAAAATACCATTACAGCAACACCTAAATTAGGATTTAAGTAAGTAACTGGATTCTGGAGCTAAGTTCACACAGAAAACTAACCAGCACAATGCTTTATTAATCAAGGGGATACAAATTGAGTACGACATGGTATGATTTTATATCCACTAAATTAACAAAATTTAAGAATCTAATGAGACCAAGCATTGTAAGGATTCTCACATACTGTTAATGGGAATGTAGACCTTTACAATCATTCTGGTAAAGAAGTTGGCACTTTCTTGTAAAGGTGATCATTTACATGTGTACAGCCCAGGAATTTCACTCTTTCAGAAACTTTTGCACATAAACACCAGGAGATACATAAAATTTACAAGAAGGCTGTAGTAGTTTTAAAAACATATATTGAAAATATATATATATATAAATAGAAAAATAGCAACAACCTGGAAACAAATCAAATATTCACTGATAGAAAAATAGATATGTAAATCATACTGTAATCACTGAATGGAATATTAAACAGTACTGAATAAATAATAGCCATGTGGATCATGAATGAATTTTAAAAACAGAGTATTGAATATAAAAAGTAGGGCACAGAAGGTTAAAAATAGCATAATACCATTTTTATAAAGCTCAGGAACAAGTAAGTTAAAATGACATTGTTTGGAAATACAAACCTATGTGAGAACACCAGCTATGGGGGACGGGCGAGTGAGGGAAGGCACAGTTTGACGGAAAAGTGTTGCCAGTGTTCTAGTCTTTAAGTTTGCTGGAGCTCCTGTGTGCTTATTTCATTATTATGCCCCATAATATGTGTTACAGATAATCCTTTTGTATTATCAAATCACTTAAAATTTTAAAAGAAAATAAATAAAACTTTTTTTATTCCAAAAAAAAGTGGAAGAGTGCTTTAAAAAAAATAAAAGAGGAGTGCTTTAATCTACGAAAGCCTTTTTTGTAAGCACGTAAGTCTGCAGTGGGCTTAGACGACCCCGAAGTCTATAACAGAACTATTCCAACAGTTAGGACGTCACGAATGCTGTAAGAGAAATGCTTGCACTAGTAGGATATTGGACTGTATGATCTCAAAGATTTCCTTTGAGCCCGGATTCTCGATGCCTCTTCTCTTATGTGATTCAAGTTTAAGACTTAGGCTGGGTTTCATTCAGGAAGAAGTCCAGACCAGCTGGAACAATGCTTGCTTAACTTTTGGAAGGTTAGTGACTGATTGCTTTGACTTGAAGGCTATTGAACTTCTCCCCAGGGAATGATGGTGAATCTGGTCTGGAAATAGGTTTCTAAAGCTATCTAATAATAATCAGTTTTGATGAACTCATGTTACTGTAAGAAGTTTGTAAATGATATTGCCAGAGGACAAAGTGTTATCATCAGAATTGCTGTCTCGTTCCTTAAAATTAGCTTGTAAGTTAATAGAAATTCCTAAAGTGAGATTAGTACAGGGAGGCATAATTTTAATCCTTTCGGTTTTGTGTGGTGGAGCAGAGTAGAATTTTGGCAAATGGTTGTTAGGGCTCTCTTTCAGGTTTTAAGTTTTTAATTTGGCCAACTTGCTGAGGCTCAAATTGAGGGGTGACCCACTTTTGCCTGGGTCAAAACAATGAGGGCATGGAGAAAAATAATTGTTTTTTTCTTTGCAGGGAGCTTTGAAAAGTTTCCCAGTTGGCAAAATGTGTATTCCACATCTGATACATAGGAAAGCTATGTTTAGAATTATGGGTGTCTTAAAAATAAAATCCCTAAGTTGCAAAATGCACCTTTGAAAGCTTAAGATCTCTCTCAGGTGGTTCTGTCAGCTAAATGAGGAACATAATATGTCATTTGTTTATGAGTACTTGATAATATGAAGAGCAGTATCATGTTTTCTTTATCCGGCATTTGACAGCTGTTAACTAGTGAAATGAGAGATTAGAGTCTGTGCAAGTAAAAGTGTACACTGGATCCTTCAAACAAAACTGTGTCACCTTCTGTATAAAGTATTAAATTAGCTGATTGGCAAGATGTGTGTGGTATGCTGTTGAGAGAGTTATGTTTTATTAACAAAGAATACACTATCTGTCTTTTAAGTCCAAGGAAATGTTGGAGCTTGCAATATTAAAAAATTGCCATAGTAATATATAAATAAATCTGTATCTATTCATCATATTACTATATAATTCATCAAGCAGTACTTTATAGAATTGGTAATTTAAAACTTTTCTAATATTGTCTTAGTAATAAAGAATATAAAGTTATCAACTTTATCTTATCTTTCTTTTATCATAGATGACTGTCTTTTTTCCCACCCAGCACTGTTTTTATACCTTGCCTATTATATCACTCTTACCCCCACCCCTTCCATTGGGTTAAAAGAGAAAATATTTCTCAACTTGTAACTGTTCTCTTATTTTCCGTTTCCGTATGATCACTTCTTAGGGCATTGATGGTATTGCTTTTGTAACTGTTAGTGGTGATGCACTAATTTTAGTTAATCCTGGAGGGAATAAGGCAGTATAGCACAGAGGTGAAGAGTGTGGTCTCTGGAACCAGACCCACTGGTGAATCTACACTCAGCAAATGGCTAAGTATAAGACTTTGGCAAGTCACTTGAATTTGCTCAGCTCTGGTTTCCTGATTTTTAATGAAAAGGGTGAGTTCAGTGCTCTGGTGCCTAGTGAAAGCTAGATGGATATTAACTGTCGTAACCATGGCAGTAATAAGAATGATTATTATTGAATTAATTAATTTAGATTGCAGACAACATTCTAGCACTTATGTCTGTTTAGTTTATTCATTTGCAATATAGAGTAGGTTGGCTGTACCTCTCTGACCTGGAGTCCAAATGTCCACTTATGTGATAGTCCAATTCCTTTAAAAAATAATAACTACATCTGTCATATTGTGAGTAAAATTTTCAAGGCCAAATATATCAAGTCAATGACAAAATAAGTTATATTCACTTTAATGTATATTTGAGTGCCTAGCATATGCAAAGCAATGTGGATAATATACAAATATATAAAATACAGTTCCTGTATTTGAGTATTATCAATTTAATAGAAAGGATTGGGGGAAAACATGAAATACACTATATTTTCCCAGGTGAATGGTAGTTACGATATCAGAATTTAAAAGTTCAGACTGGATTACTAATAGAAGCTGAACAAACAAGACAGCTGGTTTAAAAATCTTGGGGAGCCAAGAAATAAATTGGACTACATACTATACCTTGATGGTTGTTCCTTATTTCATACCCAGGAATCTCTGAATTAGGTTTATAATTTCTATCTCTTTGTTCTACATGCTGGTGCTACAACCATCGACAATTGTAATACTTGTTAAAAGCTCGGAATGTAGTCCACGAGTAGAAATGTTGAATATGGTTTCTATAAGAGAGGCATAAATAAAGTATGACCATTGCTAGAGGTGGGAGGGGTGACATTCTGTGGAAAAGAATTTTAAAAAGCTTTGTGGAAGAACATTTGAGCTGGGATTTCAAAGGACGCATGGGACTTCAGGTGAAGTTTGAGAGCTGCAGGGGTGTGTTTGGCCCATGCTGGGTCAAGATATCAGCGTAAATTTAAAGTGAGGACTGTGTATTTTCCACTAACTGCATTTCTGTGTGTATTGAGCTCATGTTTTGTCTCTTTCAGGAAGTTCATGATTTATTACAAGACTATGAGTTAAAATATTGTTATGTGGACAGAAATAAGCGAACAGGTAAGATTTCAGTTCTCAGCACCTGATTTTATTTTAATTCTACATGTCGTCATTATAGATCAAATTAGCTTCATGTCTTTTTTGAATCACTATGTTATACATCTGAAACTAATATCATATTGTAAATCAACTATACCTCAATAAAAAATAAGCCAAAAAGTGAAGTTGCACTGGTTTTTAAAACTATACATAAAATAATATAATGTTACTAGAGCTTTATGAATTTTTATAAGGAATATTCTAATGTTATAACATTATAATGAGTGTTTTTGATCTGCTTAGTATCTTTCAGTTTTTAATAATATTGCTGTATGGACTTAGTGACTAGATTATGTGATTGGACCTTGAGTTATACAAATTGGGGAAATTGTTTAATTATTCTGTGTGTTAGTTTTATATCTGAGATTAAAAGTCTGAACTAGGTTATCTTCTTTGTGTACATATGATATGTAAATGTTCAAAAACATCTCTTTGAGATGACTTAAAAAATAAGGAAATGTGTGGAGGGTGTTACAACAGTCATATACAAGCAGACTCCCAAATTAGCAAATACTTCATAGAAATATTTTATGTTTTTAAAATGTTTTTTTATAAGGGATAGATGAAATAGGTGAAGGGGGTCAAAAGGTACAAACTTCCAGTTATTAAAAAAAAAAGTCTTGGGGATGTAATTTATAAGGATGACTATAGTTAATAATAGTGTGTTGCATACTTGAATGTTGCTGAGAGAGTAGATCTTAAGAGTTCTCATCCCAAGAAAAAATTTTTAGCTGTGTATGGAGACAGATGTTAACTAGACTTATTGTGGGGATTATTTCACATACATACAAATACCAAATCATTCTGTCGTACACTAGAAATTGTTATAGTGTTGTATGTCAGTTATATCTCAGTTAAAATGTTTTTTTTTAAAGTATTTTTGGTCATTAAAAAGATACATATGCTAGAACCCAAATATAGAACTATTAATTAAGAACTTCTAAAGTATTGTTAGGAATTCTGCATTTATTTTTTTCTGACTTACAAAAAATTGTAAAAAGAAACATTGCAATTAAACATGAGATCAAGTTCCTATACCTCTCTGTTTCTATTCCCTCCCTCCCTGCTTACCTGAGGACAAGCACTTAGGAATTTGGTGTATACTTTGTAATCTGTGCTGTTATACTGTGGTAGTCATTAGAGCTGTTCACAGGTTCTTTTTCTTCTGGGCATGAGGTGAGATAGTGCTTCCCTGTCTCTCCTTGAAGTTACCAGTGGGCATATGATTTCCTTTTCGATGAATGAAGTGACATGTATCCCCTCCAGGTAGAAGATTTCAGAGCTAGCATGCGATGCACTCACTGCTCACCCCTCTACTTGCTAAAATGATTGAGGAATGTTGTAGAACCTCTTTAAACATAAGTCCCAGTATGATTTTAATGAGCAAAGCTTGCTTCCTTCCTTTCTTCCTTCCGTCTGTCCTTCTTTCCATCCTTCTTTCCTTCCTTCCTTCCTTCAAGCATGGGATATGCAGCATGAAGAACAACAAGAAAAAAACCCTTTCATTTTGTTAAGCAATTGAAATTGTGGAGCTGTTTCTTGCCAAAACATCCCAACTAATGCCTGAAATTTTACTGTATGTAAAGTTAACAGTGTTGTACTTGATGTTTTTAAAAACTTAACACAAATGGTATTCTACTGTACTTTTCATTTAGCAACTTGCTTTTTTTTTTCTGACCTCTACCTGTTTTTTTAGGTCTTTCCACATTGATACATATAGCCCTAGTTCATTGATTTAAACTACTGTGTATCATTCTGTTCTGTCAATTTGTCCCCACTGATAAATCCATTCATTATTGATAGACATTAAGAAACTTTAACTTTTCCAGTATTTCAAACAATGCTGTAATGACTGTGCTTTTACTTGTCTTCTAAAATACATTGCAGCTGTCTCTCCACAGGTGAATTACTGACTCGTAGGTTATGTACCATTTCACTGTTGTAAATATTGACCACAGGCACTGTAGCCCACACAGGCCTGGGAGTGGTGCTATTCTCGCCAGCTAGGATGGTAGACAGCATAACTCATGGTTGATCAGAAGGCGTATACAGAAGTGTTTTGTCTCAAGAGTGGAGAAAATTAACTCTAGACTAATGATGTCAGAAATTTTAAAGTGAGACAAGATAGTGTCAAGCTCATTCCTGATAACTTAATACAACCCAGAACAAAACTCCAGAATACTTGTATGAAAACAAAAACATCCAGTAGCCAGCAAGGTAACAATTCACTATGTCTGGTATCCAGTTAAATATTACCAGATATGACAAAGCAGGAAAATAGAACCCATAATGAGGAGAAAAATCAATCACTCAAAACTAATCTGAAACGGAAACAGATGAACTAATGAAAATGGACGTTAAAACAGTTAATATAACTGTGTCCCATGTGTACAAGAATTGATAGTAAAAATTGAACGTACTAAGAAGATGGAAGATATTAAAACATACTGTAAGTCACACTTTTAGAGGTGAAAACTACAATGTCTGGGATGAAAAATACAGTAGATGGAATTAGCAGCAGAGTAGATATTGAGGAAGAAAAGATTAGTGAACCTGAGTACATAGAGATAGAAGTAACCAAAACAAAACAGAAAAAAAGATTAGAAAACCTGAACAGAGTATCAGTGAACTCTGGGCAAACTCCAAGAGTTCTAACATTGGAGTAATGGAGTCTCTGAAAGAGCAAATAGTGCAGAAAAAAATATTTAAAGGATTAATGTTTCAAACATTTACAAATTTGATGAGAACTTTAAACTTTAAATTTGATGAGGTCACCAAAGCTTAACCAACTTCAAGCACAAAAATATGAAAAAAACTACAATAAGGTACACTGTAATCAGATTGCTTACAATTAGTGATAAAGAGAAAAATCTTTTAAAAAGCCCCCAAAAGGGGCATATTATATTTAGATGGGAAAAGATCAAAATGTGTATTTCTTGGAGAGAATGCAATGAGAAGACCACGGGGCAACATCTTTTCTTTCTTAGCTGAAAGAAGAAAAAAGAGATCACCATAGAACTATTAATACACTAATGAAAGAAGTTGAAGAAGATACAAATAAATGGAAGATATTCTATGCTTATAGACTGGAAGAAGTAATATTGTTAAAATGTCCACACTACTGAAAACAATCTGCAGATTCAGTACAGTCCCTATCAAAATTCCACTGGCATTTTTCACAGAAACAGAATAATTCTAAAAATTTTATGTAATTGCAGAATATCCTGCACAGTCTTGAGAAGGAAGAACAATGCTGGAGGCATCACACGCCCTGATTTCAGAGTATATTAAAAAGCTATAATAATCAAAACAGTATGGTGTTGGCATAAAAACACACACATAGATCAGTGGAACAGAATAGAGAGCCCAGAAATAAACCCTACGTATATGGTCAGTTAATTTAGGACAAAAGAACCAAAATATACAATGGGGAAAGGACAATGTTTTCAATAAGTGGTATTGGGAAAACTGGACAGCCACAGACAAAGGAATGAAACTGGACCACTATCTTACATCATACACAAAAATGAACTTGGAAAGGCTTAAAGACTTGAATGTAAGACCTGAAATCATAAAATTCCTAGAAGAAAACGTCAGCAGTAAGCTTCTTTATATCAGTCTTGGTGATGGTTTTTTGGATTTGATACTAAAGTAAAGGCAAGAAAAGTAAAAATATACAAGTGGGACTACATCACACCAAAAAGCTTCTGCATAGCAAAGGAAACCGTTAACATGAAAAGGCAGCCTGCTTAATGAGAAAAAACATTTGCAAATCATATATCTGATAAAGGGCCAATATCCATAATATAATGCACTCATACAGCTCAGTAGCAGCAGAATAAACATTCTTATTAGAAACTTGGCAGAGGATCTGAATAATCATGTTTCCAAAATAGGCATACAGATTGCCAACAGATACATGGAAAAATGCTCAGCATCATTAATCATTGGGGAAATGCAAATCACAGTGACAATGATATGTCACCTGACACTTGTTGGAATAGTTATTAAAACAAGAAATCACTTTAGAGAGGATGTGGAGAAAAGAGAATCCTTGTACATTGTTAGTGGGAATGCAAATTGGTGCAACAACTATGGGAAATGGTATGGAGTGCCCTCAAAATATTAAAACTGAAGCTACCATATTGTCCAGCAGTTTCACTTCTGGGTATTACTCTGAAGAAAACAACACTAACTCGAAAAGATGTATGTACTCCCATGTTCATTTCAGTATTATTTACCATAGTTAAGACGTGGAAACAACCTAAGTGGTTACCAATGGATGAATGGTTAAAGAAGATGTGGTATATATAGACAGTGGAATATTTAAAGAGAAATCTTGTCATTTGTGACAATATGGGTAGGCCTTGAGGGCAGTATGCGAAGTGAAATAAGTCAGAGACAAATACTGTATAATCTCACTTACAGGAGAAATCTAAACAAACAAAACCCATGAGCTTATAGATACAGAGAGCAGGTTGATCATTGCCAGAGGCTGGGGGTAGGGTTTAGGCGAAATGGGTGAAGGGAGTCTCAAGGTACAAATTTCCAGTGATAAAATAAATAAGTTATAGAGACATAATGTATAGTACGGTTACTATAGTTAATAATACTGTACTGCATATTTGAAAGTTGTTAAGAAAGTTAAAAGTTCTCATTCTCCCCACCCCAGTTTTTGTAACTAGGTATAGTGATGGAAGTTAACTAGACTTATTGTGGTGATTATTTCACAACATATACAAATACTGAATTATCAGCTCTATACCTGAAACTAATATAATGTCATTTCATTTATGCCTCAAAAAAAATCCCGCAGAATTAGTTACTCACCAAAAATATCTTCTAAAAATAAGGGTGAAGAAAGATGTTTTACAGTTATATAAAAGCTGAAAGAATTCTTTACCATCCGACCTAAATACAAGAAATATTTTAAAAAGTCCTTTAAGCAGAAAGAAAATGATGCTAGTTGGAATTCTGGATCTACACACACAAAAATGAAGACTACCAGATGTCTGTGTGTGTGTGTAAAGACTTTTATTAATAGTCAGATTTCTTTAAAAGATAATTGTTTACAATGAGAATAATAACACTGTATTGTGAAGGTTATAACACATGTAGAAATAAAATATGACAGTACAAAGATTGGAAGGGAGGAATGGAAGGATACTATTGTAAAGATTTTAGACTGTACACAGGGAGGTCAGTATCCCTTGATGGTAACTGATCAGTTAAAGATGAATTCTACAAAGCCTGGACACCCACTAGAAAACTACAACAAAGAAGCTCAGTAGTTGTATTAAATGACGTTGCCTTGAATTTCAGTAGCTGTGGTGGTGCTTGAAGAAATAAATAATAACAAATAGACTGATGAAAGATAGCTCAAGTTATAAACTGTGACTTTGAAACTAGCTCTTTCTGTTATAGATAAGAAGAAATACTTGTATTAAAATAGGATACATTGGCAAAAAATGTGTTCACATGCTGGCCATGTCCCAATAATTAATTAGGAGAGCAAGCTATGGCAAAAGAATAAATAAAATTATGAAAGAATTGGGACCAATTGTTGAATTTTAAAATGTTGATGGGGAAATGGAAACAACTAATCTCCGAATCCCTTACAGCCTTTTCTCTGTAGAGTAGCATCTACTTCCACAGAGTCAGTGTGGAAAAAAAAATTGGACTTTTTTTAGAGAATGTGTGGCCTTGGAAAGAAATAGAAGATGCTAAAGAAAAGAATCAATGACCTCTTTTCCCTATTGCCTGGGTGTTTAAATTTGCTTCATTATAGTGACTAAATTCTACTGTAAGATACCCTACTCTGCTATGCGCCTGACACTGTGGTAGCTGATGGAGATACATTCATTAGCAACCGGAGGAGCTCACAGTTAGTAGGATAGTAGGCATCTGAACAAATAGATCGTAATGCGGTGTGATGTGTGCAATAATCCAATCAGGGTTCAGGATACAGTTGTGTAGTAAAACAAGGAATGGTTAACTCTCAGTGGAAGAGTGTATCAGGGGAGGCTTCCTGGAGGTCCTGGTGCCTTAATCCCTGGGCTGGATTTGAAAAGCCAACTAACATATTTGAGTGGCTGAAAATATGGGGAGAGATCCTGTAGGCAGTGGAATTACATGGGTAATGTATAGATGCTTGAAACAAGTTGATACCTAGGGAGCAAAAAACTACAAAAAAACTCAGTGTTTGTATCAGGAGAATAAGGAAGTGTGGTGGGGAAAGGAAGCATGGCAGTTAACGAGGCTGGAGTCGGAGCACCAAGGGCCTGGTGAGGCATGATGACTGCCCTGAGACTTGGCTCCATTGGTGATACCAGACCATTGCATTTTAGGCAGTAAACAGACACAGTTAAGCTGGTTTTGCGAGATCACTTTATTGTCATTGTGGGAAAAGGATTAAAAAGAAGAAAAGGTTAAAAAAAAAAGAAAAGAGGATGGATTCAAGCCCAGAACTTGGGGATCCCTTTTATGTGGGAGGTAAAGGAAGCAGGGTCCAGGGTGACCCCCAGGCTTGTGAGGGCGACACTGCCAGCTAAGGTAAAAGGAAGACGAGCAACGTGGGGATTTTAGGGGGATGGCAAGGAGAGGGCGACGATCGTGAGTTATGTTTGGTCATGTGTGGCTCGTGTGGATCCATATGCAACTGAGGATTAGAAACATAGACTTGAGAGTTAACAGGGTGTAGGGGCTTCTCTGAGCCCCCAGACTGGCCATTTTGCTCTGTTTAATTGCTCTTACAGCCCCTGGTACTTCCGCTTTGGTAACACCACACTTGTGACTCTCTGTCAGATGTCTGTCATCCTCTGTTGGGCTGTGAGCTCTATGTTGAAAGGGATCTGTTTTGTTCAGCAACTCATTTCCAGTGCCTGGCACAGTACCTGGCATGTGAGACTGAATAAATGGGCACAGATGTGAGTGCACAGAGAAAAGAGGGCATAGACAGAGGAGAGATCCATGGCTTAGAGTTGCTGGGTACAGTCACACAGGTGTCACTGTGTGTGACTCTGCCAGGAGGGAACCTTAAGTATTGCCACCTTACAGGTGTTAGTGGAATAGAAAAATCTAGCAAAAGGAAATGGAGGAAGGAATACTTGGACAGGTATGAAGAAAATCAGGAAGGACTTTATCAAGGAAGTTAATGGTTAACAGTTTCAAACC